GCACCGTCAGCTGCCCTGGCCCTGCAGGGACTCAGGGCTCCCAGAGCAGGCGATACCACTGGGAGAAGTGCTTGCGAGCGCATAACCGTGCACAGACTTCTGCCTTCTCCAACACAAGCTGCCCTGCCAGAGTGCTGCACCCATCTCTGCGAGCAAGGGCGATCTGTGCCAGCTGCAGTGAATCAAGTCACTATCTGCGTGGGCTTTTTTTTTTTCTTTTTTTAAATGCAGCTGCCATATATCCAAAAAACAAGTGATTAGGAACATTACAGTATTAGTCAAATCAACGTTGTTTTTCAGAGGGATGAAAGCCAATGATACAATTAACAAATGGTGGGTGTTGGTGGGTGATAGTATTACGCAGACGTTTTGAAGCTCTTTTCTCCTGTGTGAGCAAATTTTCATTCTTGGAGAAACATCCTGTGTAACTGCTGTTGAAGGGTCACACAAAGTTTGTTCTTCCCAAGCTCCCAGGCGGAGTGAGCTGGCCCGAAGGCTTGGGTTTCAGATGGAGAGGCAGCGTGGCTCCTTTGGGCCACCGCAGTGCTGTGGATTTGAGGCTCTGGAATAAGGGGCTGCTTTGCTTGCTGGTTGCTGTCCTCATTTCAGGGCCATCTATTCAGACTTCCACATCACTTCTGCAGCACTGATCACACTCCACTGGGATTCAGACGGCTCAAAGCTTTTTTCCACTGTGCTTTCCACACAGAGGAACAACACTGTGTTTCCCAGAGTACTTCATTCTAGTTCCACCTCCAAGGATGGCTGTGATGTCTGCCTCTAAATGATTAAGACTATCATATACTAGAGGTTTTACAGAATATCCTTTTTTCCTCCTCATTAGCCTGCCAACTTCAGCTCTCAGCCTATGGTAAGGTCAAGGAACACCCGAGAAGAGCAACATAAGACAAAATCTCTCACACGTGACAGTCTCTGACTTCTGAGACACAGGAGAACTTGATAGTGTATGAACATGTTGCTGGTAGATCTGTTTTGATATTTGGCCTGTGAGGCATGTAATAGTGGGGTATCTATGTAAGTTATAATTTAATGAACTGAGAGCTTTACTTCTGCAGATCTCTAAACTGGGGTAGTTAGGTAGCCTGGTGTTTTGTAATCCTGTTTTACTTAATTAAAGTATTCCTGTTGGCTGGGTGGAAAGATGTGTTATCCTGTTACTAGCACATGATGAAAGGAGGCAGACATCATTAGTGTACATGACTCCTTCCTCAGACCCCATAAGAGCTAGGGCCTCTGTAGTTCCTCTGAAACAGAATTAACATATTTCTCACTGAAATGTTTTTTTCTCTTATGTTCAGCTGCATAGATTTCCTCATTACAAGTATTAAACTGTTTGGTTATCTGTAATGTGCCTAGACTTTTGTGAAGATTCATTTACAGATGAACCCCTACTGTTAGGTTAAGACAGGTTTATTTTAGCACTTGCAGTTCCTATAATTCTGAGTTGTTAATGAATTGACCAACTTTTCATCATCCTTAACATGAGAGATGCTTCTCATGATCTCGACTCATACTCCTGAAGAGCAAGATTGCACTGGGGTCCTCTCGTAAGTTTTCTTGGGTTTGTGCCATTGGAGGAGGGAGTGCATAAGAAAAAGCATCTGGCAGTACATCTGCATCCAGTCCCTGCTGACATCCTGAGATCCGTCTGCCCAGGCTCACTCCTCCCTCCGTACGGAGCTTGACATATCTGGTACCCCACTGCCAGACAACCTCAGCAAATACTTCTCTCTCCAAGGGAGGATGAGTCACTTTTTCAGTGTCTTCATCTTATCTCATTGTTAACCTGATCTTTTCAAACTGCTCACGGCTGTGTGGAAGGAATCTGCTGAAAAGCCTTGATCTGAACAAGCTGAAAAACATGATCTAGGTAAAAAGATCAAAACCAGCCTTCTCTGGACCAATGACCATGAAGTTTTAATTCTTTACAAAGGACATGAAAAATAAGATGATAACTGAGATAAATGTTGATGAGTGGATGTGACAGATCCATTCCTCAAGGCTTTGCAAGGAAGCAGCAAGGAAGCGCTGAAGGATCCCAGGCCAGCTCCATAGTTAGCTGATCGGTTGAAAGTCAGTTCTATTTTTTTTCTGTTATTCTACATCACTTTGCATTATACAGTATTGTACATAGCCTCTGGTAGACCCTTCCAAAGCTACTGAATAACTTGGTGCTTAACAAGGATACTTTAATGTTTTTAAGTTCTGGGAAATACAAGATCATCTTTCATTCTGAGTCAGCAATGATGATCCCCAAACTAGTGGTGGAATAGGGGGAATAGTAGCTTTGTGGAAACTACTGTAGAGATCTGCACTGTAAGAAATGATGAATATATGACAGAGGAGCGAGGCTTACTTTTATACCTTATAAATCAGGAGTGTAACGAAAATTTCCTTTCCGTATTTGTGTTGTCTTTTCAATTTAGCACTGTTTATGCCTATGCACAACTCCTGTGCTGCAGGAATGATTCTTGTTTCTAAAAGCCCTTGCTCACAGGAAGCATTTTTTCCTTCTTCTATCTCTAAATTGTATATGAATATGTACAAAATAGAAGTTAACTTCTCTACATAGAAATTAATTTAGTAAGAGAGATCTCTTCTGTGTATAAGAGCATAACATAGTGTAGCAGAAACACTTGCCCCCATGAGTTTGAGACTGCAACAATCACAAGCAGATTGTCTCATGTGTTGCTTCTCCATCACCCCGTAACACTGACACAGTCCAGTCACAGCAGTATGCACACAAGAGTTTGAATAATGCCCCTGAAGAGTCCCTTAAGCATTCATTTTGTTCTTTTCAGTTGTCCTCCAGGCATTACCCACTCCATTATGGTATCAACTTGAAAATTTCCTAATACAGAAGGTAAAACTCATTGACAAGGAAAAATTTCAAAATTATTGCTCCTATTAGAGTCATAGTTCTGATATTTCTCTGGAGAATTTACCAAATTTCAGCATCACAGTATTTGGAAAAAGTGATATGTATTGCAAGTAATTCCTACTTTGAGGCAACCCTTAACCAAAGGGAGGTAAATATCATTCTATATCATTTCAGACAAGAAGCTACATTTGACGCAACTGTATCACCCACAAACAAAGCCACTTTTCTATTAATTAAAAACAGCCGATGACTGGTTTGATGAGAAAAAAAAATTCTCATGAATAACGCAATCATATTTATAACTTGTCTTATTTTAACGTGAACTCACAAGCTGTCATGAATAAGGGCAAGGACTGTCAAATGGCATTCACAAGAACAGAGCAGGTTTTAAATGGCTGCTCTTCAAAATAAAAATCTGTATAGCACATTGGGAAAATTTCCCCCACAAATATTGCCTAACTTTAAATTAATTTGTGGCTTTGGTAATGATCTGAAGAAGCTGCTCTACTGTCTTCTTTGTTCAGCACATCCCATTATTACTGGAACAGCAGAGACACAGTGGCATAAAGTACTGCCTGAGAAGAGCAGCTGGAGAGCAGCTATGATTAATGAACAGATAAATACAAATATGATTGTCTGCCTTTAAGAAGGAACAGTCATGAGCTCATTAGGGAAGTGAGAACCCATGATACCATTGTTAAAACAGCCATGCTTTAAGCAGACAATCACAGCACCTTAGCTCATCTTTTAAATGAGAAGCTGAAGGAAGTCATCAAAAGGGAAGCAAGCAAAAACCTGATTTTCACTATGCAGGCTGCTCTGAAGGCTCCTCAGGCAGGAGAGGCTGAATAAAGCTGCCCTGAATTCAGAATTTGCTGTCCTTCCCAAATCAGAGCAAGGCTTACTATATTACACAGCAATAGCCACCCGAGGCCTCTTCAGCTTCAGCCAGGTGAGAGCAAGGGAGATGGCAGGTCACTCCCCAGCCTCTCCTTACAAAAGGATAATGTCTACAGCTTTCCTAACCAAAAGCAGTCCCACAGACACAAATGGAAGCAACTATGCAGAAACAAGTTTCAAAATGCCAACAAAAGACAATTTTTCTGGCACCTCTCTGAGAACCTTATAAATAACAGTAAAGAGCCTCAACATCTCAGCTTCTATTTATTTGTGGTAACAAATCAGGCACCAGTGATGGTAGGAGACTCACCCTGTAGATTAAGCTCTGCTCTGTTCTTTTTTGTAGCCTGTCCAAAGCAATCCAGGACCGCAGCCCTACTCTAAACACCAGCAGCTCCCCACGGAGCGTGGATGATGCTTTAGGAGTGCAGAATCAGCAAAAGGGCTCCCCTGCCATTTCCCTCCCTGTCCCTCCTCTCTGCTGATAGTATTACAGGCAAAGAAGGTGTCTCTAGAGAAATGGGGACACTGCCAGTATCAGTACATTTGCATTTAACTCAATAACAGTCACACAGAGCTACTCTAGCTTGGCATAATGTGACTTTTTTATACATGAAGGCAACAGCAATTAGCTTGACGTATTCTTTGTGTAAATCCCCCAAACGCTGTTTATTCCTTACTTAAATAAATGAACCTTTGATCCAGTCAGAAGCTGCTTTGTTTCAGACATCTTTATCTCCTCTGGGACCTTTTTTTGCCCTATGAAAAATAAGATGTTGAGGTAGCTCTGATTTGATACCAGAATTAGCTTTTCTTCTACCCTCTTCTTCTTGAGCAACATCATGAGTTGTGAGGTCGTTGGCTACTGGTAGAATTGGCCATTTTACTTCCATTTTCTTCTATTCTCGTTCCCAGAGGAACCGAAATAGGAGAATGACATCAGTTTGTCACCAAATTCCATACTCACCTCCTGCAGCTTTGCTCTTTAAAATTCCTACAATCTCTTTGTGAAATGGCAAACTCCCAAAGATCTATGTGCTGCTCAGTTTTTCCAAGGTTCAGCAAAATGAAACTCTTCATAGCTTACATTTATAACTGACCTGAACAAACACCTTTTAGGGAGAATTTGGGCAAGGCATGAACTGTGCTGCTGGGCTGTCAGCTGTTAATCTGCTTCTTTAGTGATTCAGAATAAGACAACAGAATCAAGCCTATTGTTTGACTAGTCATGTATTTATTTGTGGTTTTAACATGCAAAACCAGTATAACAATTATAGAAGTTAGAAAAAAATATAGCACTGAAAAAAGTATTCATGCAGAATGAGGCTTCTACTTGAACTATCCTTCACAATCACCAGTTAGTCGATTTGTCCCAATATTTATAGTTCATCATTACAACTGCCAAAACTGGCAACCACCAGGATTGTTGTCTCAATTAAGGACAGTAAACAGATTGTCCCATTTTTTTTAATGAAAAAATCTAAAATGTAATACTTCACAGTTTAACATGTTTATTCATTTAAACTAGCTAAAAAATAGTGGTGTGACATCTGCTTGAGAGACACTGGTACCTAACATTTTGGCTGTCTCCCCACCAATTTGGTTATGATTAAGGGGGGATAAAAGGAAGAGTAGAGGATTCTGTCAATTAAATGCATTGATGAACTACAAAAAATATTTTTCCACTCTTGGAAAAGTGTAGAAATACATCTACAAAAGAATGTATTACAGCAAACTAAAAGGATGATGGGGATAAGTGTTGCAAAATATCTCCATTGGCTCTTTCAGGAAAAAATATTGTAAGCATAAGATCACAGACAATCTTTGCCAGTTTATTCATCTCATGGATTCATTTCCCAAAGTGCAGGCATAATCCACTACAAAATCTTTTAAGAAGCAGTTCCAACATCACATTTCTGCTGTCTTATTGATGTGCCATATTGTTATTTTCTTAGTCATAAGCACCACTAATTATTATGCTACTGTAAGTAAAACTTGAAATGCGATCAAGATCTGTAGTATCCTGTTTGTTGGCAGTCTAACTTGCCTAGTCTGCATTTCAAGTACAGTCCTTTACTGAGAATTGTCCTGAATGCATTTGACCTTCACCAACTGGTTCAGTTGTGCCTTACAGGCACAGTCCTGTACCAGAGCAAAATGAATCATCACTCTATCGGAAGCTGCTAGCAACATTTTCCTCCCTGAAAAGGCAGCATTCAAAACTTGGCCCTAAGTCAGCAGATAAGCCTCTTCCATGGTAGCAGTTTTCATGAAAATGGGATGAGCGATTTTGTAGGCCTTTTACTGTGCCTTCATTTAGTAGGGTTGTTTCAAACCCGCCTGTTTTCAAACACAATTTGTTAGGTCAGCTACTCTAGATGACACCTAAACAGATGAGTTTGTTCATGTTGTGTATGTTTGCAGTTATGTGTTGCAGCATAATCTAAGTGTCGTCCCTGCTACAGTTGGTCTGATGCATGGAAGGAGCTATGACAGATCCTGAATCACATGATGTCTATATGATATGCAACAGTGAACTTTAAATAAAGCGTTCTTCAAGGAAAGTTTAAATATATCTCTAGGGTCCATTAGGGAAATGCTTAACATGCCTCCTAAGCTTCCAGTAAAATATATTTATGGACTCTAGGAAACAGAGTTAAAGCCTTTCCTTGGCAATGTTCACCAGCAGCACTAGTAAAACTACTATACGGAGGCTTCTGTCCTGAGATGGTCTGCATGCTGGTTCCGCTTTTGTAGGGAAAAGTTAAAACTGCTGAGGAAAGATTTACTGAGCAAAATCACTGCTGGAAGACTCTCGTGCCTTCCTAGCCAGAGAGACTTACAAATGGGACATCCACTCCCACCCACAGCATGAGGACTCAGTACAGGCATCTCCTCCACAACCTCTGCTGGAAAGAAATTCAGTTTACTCCACAAGCAGAGGGCAACAACAGTACTGACATATACCCTTTCCCCAGAGGTGAATATCCTGGAAAAAACCTGCCCCATTAAGCTAGGTCTGCTGTGTAAATGGTTAGATCAGCAATCTTTCTTTGAAACAAGGGTATAGAAGTATTACCTTGAAAATAAAGTCAATCTGACTGAAGTTCATGCAGCTACATTGAACAACATTGTCTGCAGAAAGAGATCTGCTCTATTGGTATTGGGTAGGATGCCAAGGGAAGTTCTCTTTATGGTCTTTTAAGTATTCATAGGCTATGCTTAGTTTTAATATGAGCTTAGGGGCTTGAACTGCCTAGAATAATAGAGATATTCTAAAACTGGTGAGTATCACTGCTCACATTTGAACACTGTGCTATTTAGATTGCTTTAATGTCCTTTCAAATGCACATATAATTCAGCGTGACACATCCAACATTAATAAGAGCACCAAAATAGTAAAAATACATTTATTATTAAAATAGACACTGAGCAACTCATACAAAGGTAGGTGGTTCAAAAACCAAGAGGCATTCAGTAAATAAAATTAAAGGCAAAATAAGCCACAATTTGCAAGATTATAATCAGTCTCTACTTTAAAATATCAGGCACAGACAATGTAGCATTCCAGAAAGCAGAAATAACTTCAGGTCAGACTCTGATTTTCCCTTGGAGTAAATCAGTTGTAGTATCAGTGAACCCAGGGGAATCATAAATTAGTAGGCTCAGAATCCAACCTCATTGCTAATATTGTTGTGCTTGTGCCTTTTATAAAATAAAGTATGAATATGATGAAAAGTGGGAGCTTTTAGCTTTAAAAAAACTATTGACATAGTCCCATTAGAAATTATTGTACTTATAAGAGAAAAACTGTATTTGCTGCAATATTTGCCATGTATTTCTATATACACTGAACAGAAGTCTATCCAGTTTATCTAAGCAAAAGGAAATTATCTTGTTACATGAGAATAACATCTTTTATGTGGATAAAAAGGCCTAACCTAAATGAAGCCAACAGACAAACTGCAAATTATGACACTTGTGGGCAATATGGACTGATAAGTCACAAATCAGGGAAGATGCTTCAATCACACATATATGCGCTTTAGATTTTGTCTATGACTCAGAATTATGGGTAAAGCAATCTTTCTATTCTAGGAACTTCATGTTCATAAATTTGACAGTAAGAATAGCTTGCTTCTTCATGTAACTGACTCAGAAAGCAAGTTATGAGACAACTTGCGCGAAGGGGATAACTACACATCATTCTCAGACCAGACATCACCCGGAGAGCTATGTGCAGACATTAAGAAAGCAATCCTTCCAGCATTTTATGGAATAAAAAAATTGCTCATGCAAAGTAACAAGAGAGGTCTGCAGCTCTGTGACATGTGGTGTAGCACTGGTGAAGTGAAAGGCATGTCACATCCAAGGAGACAGCTTGTGATATGCTTTTTCCCTCCACTGAAAGTTGGGCCATGTGTCAGATAATGCTTCACCATAAATGTAACATGTTGCTAAGCATTTGATCATGTGTGCAATTATTAGCGGACTATAAATCATATGAATGCATAAAAGTTAAGTTTTTGTGTCTGTAACAGTCATAATTAGAAAATGAGAAATATTTGCACATATATGTTTATGCTTCTCTTTCATAATCTTCTCGGAAGACTGTTGTACTCTGAATTTCTAGAGTTGTTTTGCATTGCATAAAGTGAATGAGGAGTATGACAGATAAGAAGTGGATCCTTAGAGACTCATAATGTATATGGTCATAGCTACTGTATGGTTTAAAAATTAACTGTATTGATCTAAGTTCCTTAAATGGCGATAACAGGACTGTGTCAATTTAAAATATATTTTCCATTATAATATTTGCTATGATTTACATCCCTTTGTCTTCAAAATCACTGTAAGAAATCTTAATCAGGCATTTCTGGAACAAGTCAGTAAATATCATCTCAGCTGTAACTAAACCTAACATTCAGCCCTGAAATTGGTATCAAAGATAAAGCCAAGCTAGTCTGCTAATATAATTTCAAAATTATGATAATTCTTTTCTGGAAGTCATTCTGCCTAACTTCCCTGCCATATTCAGCATGAATGGCTGTATGCTTTCCTTGGTATCAAAGTGAATCGAAACTAGAGAAAGACTGACCACATTTTTAAAAGGATCAAAACTGAATCTTTACAACCCCAAGTCAGTTATATGTCAAAGTCGAAGCAGAACACAATAAAGCCAGAATTTTACAGCTCCCTGTAGCTGCATTGACATACTGACTTCTTCAAGTGGCTTGTGGTTATCAAAGGAATCAGAAATGTTATCTACAGTGCATATTCTGAAAGGTGCTTTGCAAAAACTGAAGGATGTCGTGGATCCAAGATTTTCTCAATTATCAGTATGTATGAAAAAAAGGTTTCTTAATACTTACAAATTCTCACATTAGTTTGATGATTAAAATGATTGTGTAACTGGAAAGCAATTTTTTTTTCAACATCCCCCTAACAGGTAGAGCAAGTTGATACCACAACCAGCAGGAAGAGTATAATTAAAATACGATTTTGACTTTATATTAATAATAGAGCAATACACTAATTAAAACCAACATCGACTGAACTTTCTATTTACACTAGTTCAGACAGCACAGGAGGCAAAGAACTGTGTTTCAGAGGCATATGCGAATGTTAGAGCTTCTGTCATCCAGGTGCCATTTCTGACAGAACACATGTGTGCTGAACAGTTGGCAAAAGAATGAAAAAGATTACTGCAGATATATGGGCACACAGAATCTGGAATGACATAAAATTAAGTCCATATAGGAGGTGACAGACTGCTTCTAAAAAGATATTTTTTCCTACAATTTCTTCCATCTTCGTGTGCGCGCATGTACACACATGCACAAGAAAGATTAAAAGGGAGAGAAAGGATGAGGGGGGTTTGATATATTTTAAATACAAATCAAGAAAAGACTTTTTATTTGGTATTCTGCTTCCTTTTGGGAAAGGAAAAGGAACCTAATTTGGCTATTAGGAAGCTTTGATTCCTAAATTTAGTCAAGGCAGACTCTCCTCCTGTGAAGTCAGCATCAATACCCATGATAATAATAGCACCTGTCTTTTGACATCAAAGTTCTCTGCCTGAGAAAAAAATAATGTAAACAATAAACTTCATGTATTGTACTGCTGCTCCTGGCTTTGGTGTTAACCAAATACACTTGCCAGGCATGAGTTTTCTCTTATTTTGGAGATCTGGAATGTAAAAGTGACTGATGTATTGCAAAACTTTCTTATGAAATTGGACTGCAAGAAATGGCATCATTTACTGTCTCACAGTGAAGGGACTGTGTGTTCCTATGTAGTCTTGTTCAAGCTGAAGAAATCTTGATGATAGATTCATTGCATCTGCTAGTTTTCATCTGGATCCAGATCAAGGTCAACTTCATTGGAAATGTTAAGATAAAAGAAAGCATAGAAAGCCAACAAAAATACCAGTATAGCTGCAAGGACAAGGGCAACTTCCTGTAGAAATAAGAGAAAAAAATTAAGCCAAAACCTGTTAGAAATAGTACTGTATTTTCATTATTTCCATTATATAATGCATATTAAAATAACACCAGACATATATAATTGCATAAGGCATTGATACTTTAATGATTTCTTCTTTGTGATTACCATTTCAGAATGTTATAAAATATATTCACTTAATAAAGATTCTGGTGAGTCTGATATAAAGCCAGAAATAGGATATTTGGCTTAAAGATCTATGGTCTGACCTAGAAATAGGAGCTTTACATCCTTTTATTATGATATCCATTCTTTTTTAAAAGACAGAATTCACAAACCACAGTTTTGAACACAAATTTAAGTTATGAATTTACACTGTGAATTTTGATGTTTTCTAGCAATATGTTACTGCTTTTTGCCAACAAATTTGTAATTTTTTAATGAAGCAAACACAGTATGGTGGAAGTCAATGAAAATTGCTACCTCTACCTCCCAACCTCCTGGCATGCATTACAATATAGAACTACAAAATCCCTCAGAATTGGATGAAACTTTTCTTCCTTCTCTTCTGCAATAAGGGAAAAAGCACAACAATTTGCAATTGCACTTGCCTCTCTTCTTGTAAAATACTGCAACTTGCTGCATCTTCCTTAATTAACATAAAGGAGTCTTCCAAAGTATACAGGATTTAGAGCAGCTTTCCGAAGCAAAAAAATGTTTTTGTACTACACATCATACTCATGTGGCTGCCCATCATCCTATTCTATCTTAAGGCTGGACTCCGTTAAGCTCCAACTTTAGACCTCAAACATAATAAATGGTTGTATGATCATCCTCTTTGTAACACTACTTCTTTCAGAGTCACAGTATTTCACATTTTTAAGTTCATTCTCATTTTGCTAGACAATGAAAGAAGAAATAAAAATTTGAGAAAAATCCTTACATTCCTTCAGTTCACAGAAAGTGCCACTTCCACAGCTAACAACATGCACTGCTTCACTTCATTCCTTATCATCGTGATGTATTTTTAAAATCATGCACTGAGGTGATCAAAAGGAACAGGTTAATTTGTACCCCCCAAAACCATTTTCCCTCTACAAAAAGAAAAAACAACCTCCCCTCCAAATCACAGCTTCATGCTAACCTACAAACCATCTGCATCTGAACAATCCAGCTATATACTTAAAAGGAGAGAAGAGAAACAGTTCAGTGACTTTATAACAACTAACCTGAATAGATGCCACATCAAATCTACTCTGCCAGTGGGACTGAAAGGAGATGCCTACACCACACCTAGACAATCAGACACCCTTTACTATCCAAGGAGAGAATCTGACCCTCTTTGGTGTAAGATTCATTGCGTCCTCTGAAAGAGGTCAGGTGATTTCTTCCTAAAAATGCCTATTTTTCCCCTTAGACTAGAAGGGGAGTGGAGATGGTAACCTTGGTGTGGAGACCTGCATTGTAGGATGAATTCCACCCAGTACCCTCTAGATTGGTGGTGGCTTTGTGACCAAATTTGTGTCCATTGCCATGAAGGAGTTAAAAATGCGTTAGCTTCATTTTTTAAAGTCTAGCCCATAATCTGGCATTCTTCTATAGAACAGCATTTCATTTGCATTTACATGAATGCATTATATAGTTTATCAGAATGTTGGATCAATAATTCAACATATGCCATCTAATAAACTTTGAAATACTACTGACTAGTTGGCGTATGCTCTATAGGAGTCTTTGTTCTATAGAAACCTTTGCTTTACATTTTACATGGATTGAGATGTACTTTAAATTTATTTTACATTAAAATTGCTCCTGTAAATTTGCTGAGACTGTTTGTTACAGATTTCAACTACATTTTCCTCTTAGAATTATATCATCCTCTGAACCTCATACTCCTGATTCCCTATGATTTGATTAAAAAAAAAAGAAAGTACATCTAATTCACTAATATATTAAAGGAAAGTGATTTTTGCTTTGTTGCAGTTGCAACACGTCAGTATCTCACAAAAGGGCATGGCAGCATCAGACAGGTTTCATTTATTTCCTTGTATCCACAGCTGTGCTCCCAGACCCATCTGGCCACACAGCTACTAATCTTAAGAGGATGTAATAAACAAGTGACATACAACTGCAAGCTCCATCTGCTCAGGAGAGTGGACAACAAAACTGTGCAATGCAGGCACCGTTCACACTTGACACAGAGAGCAAATTCATTCCAGTATTAAAAAGTTTTTTCCCATGTTTGGATGCCACGCTTGCCACTTTACAATAGGTTCACCTTTTCTCTCCTCCCCAGCCTCCTTTATGAAATGCTGTAGTAGCAGCAGCAAAATTTTGGGTAATGTTTGCATTAAAGAATTGTTTTCTAAGAAGTGGAACTGGGAAAATCTTGAGTTTTGTTCTCAGGCTGCCCAGTAACTGCTTTGATGGGAGTAGTTCTTTAATTTCTCTGCCTAAGTTTTGCAGTGAATAACACTGAGATAACAATACTACTTTCCTTACACGAGCATTAGAAACTGGGTGGCTGAATCAGTATTTATTAGCCCTGGGAATGAAAAGCCTTATTGAAATTCCAGGTTTTAGAATTACACAAGAACCTTAATTCTGAGTTACTAAAGAAGGCAGAGTAACAAAAATCTAAAATAAATGGCCTAACAAAGGACACCTGGCTCTCAGCTAGGGATAAGCAGTCTCTTAAGAATTGCATCCAGTTTATGAACTTTTATAAACATAAATTTTGCAATGTAAATAGCAAATGAGATGCTACACCACTATACTGTCTTTGCAACAATGGTATATATTGTCATTTTAATTTGCTTTATACTTATCAGGCTTTGCTATTTGTATTTGAAGCCATGCATAGAAATGAAATGTTAAAATACTTCCCACTCGGCATATATAGCTCCCTTTCTCTTGCACTTTATAGATCATCCCCATCATCCCTCTGCAAAATCCATTTACTCAGAGGATTTCATCATGAATAATTAACCAATATAGAAAAAGTCGTATAGAAATAAACTTAAAATGATCACAGAGCTTTTTCTCTTTTTTTTTTTTTTTTTTTTTCTTTTATAATATGGTACAGAATGCTAGGAAATAACATCCGTGCTCTCAAATCCCAAAGCACAGTCAAAGAAGCCTTTAAAAGGAACAGAATTTTCTATTATATTTTCTTATATTTAGAATAATGTCTGTAGAACCCTACTGAGTTCAGCTTAAGTTTTTCAGAAACTTTTCCATAAAGGAAACACTTGCCATTACAGTATAATGTAGATTTAATTTTCCTATGATTTTTTTGTCAGTTTTATGTCTCTCACACCAAAATATTTGGATAATGTCCTCAGATTCACCCTGATGGAGCAAGTTGCAGAGTTGGGATTTAAACAAGAATAATCAGAAGCTGAAAAAAATAGGGGTGAGGAAAAACTGTTCGTTATAATCACACAAATCTGGAAATGGTGTACGGCAGCATCATATCCTACACATATAGAGAAATATCACACTTTCAGGAAATTTCAAACTTTTTAGATAATTTTTATTGTCCTTCAAAGAGAACCGTACCTTTTTAATCTGAAACCAGCTTAAAACTAGGTGAAAGTATCACAAATTGCTGTCTTTGTAATGCTAAACTATCCCTAGTTATTTCTGAAATGAGATGAAGAGAAAATCATGCTGACCAAGGATACGTGTAGAAATAAAACAAACATACATGGACTTGACAATCAACCTTTTTATCCCATGTAATTTCTAACTGGAAAACTATCTGGACATTCATTGTGAACATTTTTTAGAGTTTCAGCAAAATCATATTTAAAAATGGATATTTACTTCCTTAATCCGGGACATTCTACATTTAACACAAGGTAACAAAAGTAATTTATTAACTTTTATCAGTAGTTTTTATGTTATAAATTTTTTATTGTAAAAATTTCAAATGGAACAATGATCATTATTGTCTCAAATAATGAGAGTAAGGTATTATTACAGAGTCATCTGCAAGGCCTGGCTGTATGATTCCAAAGCAACAGGATTCATTTTAATATATCTAAATGCAAGGTAATATATACAGGTATCAAAAATGTAGATAGGACTTGCAAAGTGGAGGGATCTGCCTTGAAAACTCATGACTCTAAAAAGGTCTTTGGATTTAATCAGTAACCACTCCCTCAGTGTGTGATCTCTGGATGTGCAAAGGCAGAGGGATTTCCAGTAGGGAGATGACTGTTATTTATTTTATCATAGAGAAGAATGAGAGGTAGTTTGGTTACAGCATATAACTACATATGCCATACACCTGTATTTAAGTAATGTGCTTCACAGTGTGGAGTCCTTTATCTTGTTTACAAGAACCTCTCAAGGTCCAGATGCAGTGAGATAAGTTCAGTCTTGAAATAAGATGCCATTTCCCAGGAGCATGAATGAATGAACATTCCAGTTGCGTTTTGAGGAAAATATGGACTTCCATGGCTGTGAGTCTTTTATGGTCAGATCTCTCTCTCAAAAAAAAGCACATTTTTATTTAGCTATTGGGAAGAATTCTTCAACTTGGGCTTGTGTGAAAAGGTGGTCCCAGCTGCCAGCCTTGCAGTTGGCAAACTCAGCCCTCAAAAATCCTCCCCTCCTTCAGGGTCCTGAGAAGACTGAGATAACTTACATGATCAGTGCTATAGTCTGAACCCGAGGTTTCAGATTGTTAAAAGTATGGCATCTCATACTTCAGTGCTTCAGACTTTCCTACACAGGATCAAAAGAAGTTTCCTTCTTTTTCAGAAATTTGGCTCCAACTGTATTGATTTCATTTCTGAGATTTGAGGTTTTGTTGTTGTCAACTATCCTTTGAAGTGTTAGAGATAAGTAGAGAACAAAGCCTGAGAAAAATGGACTACTGCTCTGAGATGGCGCAGAAAATCCCCCTAAACTACGGCTTGGTGCATCTTATTCACATGCTCAAACCACCATGATGACTGTACTTACATGCACAGGTCAGGCCAAGGTCTGATGGGAGCAATCTGATTCTGTTTTTCTCTTTGTATGGGTTTTTTCCCCTCACTTCCATTTCAAGGTCAGGGGTCAAAGTCTGACTACTGGGATCACTGGGAATATCACACTTTGTTCCTTGGTGGCACATCAAGCCACCCTGCTCTTTGTGTGAGGCACATAAGCTGGTTTAAAGACCCATCATTTTGGCTGTTACGAAGTGATTGGACTTCCAGAAAGTATTTGGATGAAATTTTATGATCTGTAACATATAGAAGGCCAGATCAAATGATCTAATAGTCCCTTGTGGCCTTAATTTCTGCAAAGCTATGAAACTATATTACCAACTTATCTTGGCAAATGTAGTTCACTAACTTCGAAGATTATAAGCAGCGTGAAATCAGAGAATACCCTTTGCCAAAATACACTAGGAATGTCTTGTTATCTATTCATACATAACTTGTTCCAGATGAGATAAACTCTTAATACTGAGCTAGTGAGCTACACAATAGATTAAGCAGATATGCAAAGGAATGACAGACAGTAAGTTTTTTAGGAAACATTTTTTCCTTAGCTCAATCGATGTACTACATTGCTAATAATTCTCTATGGAGTGGTATTCTTCAGTTGATTATGCCTTTGCAATTGGGTGTAAAATACTACTGTTCGGATTTGTGTCCACCTTTCAACAAGAAAGAAAACTTCATCTGTCCCACAGACCACTGATTCATTTTTTCAGCCTGTGAAAAAAATCTCTCCCCAAGAACTCCCATTACTTTTGGCCTCTGCATAACAAACCCCAGCTACCTGGGGCTGAGCTTTCAAATTCCTCAAACCATTTTCTGCTTGCCACCCTCCTGCTGGCATGTCTTCCTCACCCACTGAAAGCAGAGTTAGCACTGGTGGTGCAGACGCCTTGCTGCTCCACCTGGTAAGGATGAGCAGGTGGGCTGCCACCAGCACAAGCCCCGCCGGGGGATAACAAAACAACCACACAGAGAAGGTTTAGAGGCTGCCTTTTTGGTACTGCTACAATAAATTTTGTCTTACCCAAACACCAGGAGACATACAGCATACTGCTTTCTCTCTGAGTTGTTTCTTGAGACGGGGTTCCTGCTTTTCTAAGAGACACCATATATTTTGGCACGGTCTACCTTGGTGTGACATGTACAAACAATGCCAGCACAACAGCCCTGCTACAATATTTAATTTTAAAACAAGTTTAAAGAGTAAACCAAATACTAGCATGGTCACTCTGCTTGAACTAACTTTTAATAGTTATTAGTGCTTAGCTGTTTCTCTGACATTATCAACACGGATAAAATCTCTCATTGGGGAAATTAAAAAGTACTAAATGCCAGTGATGGAAAGAAACTTTGTTACTTTAAATCTTGCATTAAAATGACAAGGCAATCAAAGTTTGACAAGACAAGCTAATTAGTATGCCAGCGATGAAATGTGAAGGATCTCCAGGGGATTGGTTCTGAAAAGTTTTATGTCATTTACAGGGCCTTTTTTTCAAGCGAATGTTGTCAGTTCTCATGGTGAAATACACAACAGTTGAATTTCATTATCTTCATAGAAATTAAGGATTAAATTCCCTTCACTATCCAGTCCTCTTCTTTTTTCCCCCTAAATACTACACCAAGTCTTACCTTACAATCAGAAATAGTGCTAAACAACTCTAGCACTATCAATGAGCACTAAAAATCTTATCTTTTTAAGTGGCAGTATGGTACTTACTGTGTTAGGTATTTCACAAAATTATAAAATTATTCCTCTCTCCCAGAGAGCTTGTACTTTTTACATGTATGACAAGGATATCCTTCCTCTACAATATTTTAAAGTGCAACTTAGCTTTTTATAAGAAAATGTTAATATATTTTGAAATGCTGCATATTGCATCATGTACTGAAGCCTGGATAAACAAATAAAATATATGGTAAATATACATATGTATGTGTTTTCTCAAAGATTTACAAGAACTTTGGACATTTCTATTTAAAGTATTGTCTACTTACTACATTGCACTGTAGCTACACAACTTTTTTTTCTTCTTCAGTACAGACTGAATTGAATCAACTGTCATAGCGTAAACTGGGGCTTATGTTATACAAAAAGACTAAAATCCCAGCCTTTGGAAGGTGAATCATGTCACTTATCACCATCAGAAAACTTTGTTAATATGAAGTGACAACTGTGACGATACCTTCCCAAACGAAGAGCTCAGATACGCTCAAAAGCTCTGAATATTAGGAAACAATTGAAGGAATGCACACTCAAGCCTGAAAATAGTGTCATGAAAGCACATAACCTGATGGACCTCAACTCTGCTGACTCTTCTGACTGCCACAGACATGAGGCACGCTCCTGCCGCACTAAGCAGGAGACTTCAAGAAATTCTTATTTCAAAATCTATCCAGAAGACAACAGGAGTATCTGGGATAGGTGTGGAGGATGAAGGTAAGAAGACTACTCTTGGACAGCGGAAGGAACATAACAATGGACTGAGCAAAACAAGCCCTGCCTGAGAGAGGGGGAGAGGTTATGGGACTTTACAACTACAGCAGCCTCTGCTGGGGTGGGGAAGGGATTTCCCTGCAGACCCTCTAGGTGCATCCACTGCCCATGGTGAAGCTCTGCTGGACTGGAGAGATAGAGCAGGGTGAAGAGCTGTCAATGCGAGACGGAAAGCAGTGCAAGTTTATCCCGAAACATTAAATATGACTTGCTTCTGTGCTGAGCGCTGCAGGGTCTGTCAGCAGAAGGGCAGAGTTTTATTCTACAGGGATTGCCCATATTCGGGTAAAAGTATTGTAACATTTAGTAAGCCTGAGGTTGTTGGCATTAAGCAGGCTCAGTGAGAAGGATGAATACAAAGGCCCTGCTTTCCTTCCTCCACAAGCATATCCCTGGAGGGAAAGGTGCCCAACTTACCTTCCCTTTTGCTTCAGCTCTGTCAGCTTTTCTCAGCAATTAGGAAGCAAAGCAAATGACTGTAATCTGTTTGGGGATGATCCAGGGTCATATTTTAACGTCCAGGCGTGCAAAAAATATTACAGCCGGAAGACATTATTTTAAAGAATTTTTTTTTTTCTTTTCTTCTAAGGCTGAGGCAGAATTGCAAATCTGAGACATTACACACTGCAACCAGCAGAACCCCACAAACACAACATCCCACGATCCCATGACCTGGAGAGCATGTGTGTGCCTTGATGGCAAAACGCATTCTTACCTAGAAGTCAGCTATAACATGTAGGATATGTATTTTGTATATTTGTATATGAAAATAAACTGTTCTTGATTTTTTTATTCACTAATACTTGATTCTTCATTATACATATGACTATACATATGCTTTCTTATTCTCCCTCATTTTTAAGTAAGAATTACTTAAGGAAACAAAACAGCTTTTGAAGGAGCAAGGTTCATATTTTTCTCACTTGTGAAAGACATGCAAAAAACTTGCACACTCTAAAAGAACTAGGCTGTACAGTACAAGTCTCCAAGTAGAACATCACTTTTAAAAGGTCATTTCATTGAAAGTAAAATGAAAAGCAAAATTTAATAAGAAAGGAAGGAAAAAACATTGAACGCAAAAGGTTAATAATCTATCCTTTAAACAAAAAAGGCAATCTACTTTTTCTCATTAAAACCTGACACACAGCACTAACTGAGGAGATTATGTTGTGAAAACATACTGCATCGCACGGTAATGCTTGATCGAGATCAGCAATCAGGAGCAAAAAGAAAGCACTGTTTCGTGATTATAATAGCAAATTCTGGAAGACAACCAAATACATCATCTGGCAGCTCAACAGCTGTTACAGCTTGGTAGTAATACCTTGGCATTTGCTATAAGCTATAACTTGAAAAATTGATTTCTCATCTGCCAGAAACAAGAAAATGTTCTCCTTTTAACATTTCTGAAGTTTCTTTCACTAGAATACGCAGGTATTTGACCCACTTTAAAATTTTTCTCAGTTTTTACTCTTGCTGCTAAGCTAATTGTGTATCAATTTGATTCAAAAATAAGTTTGAGGGAAAAATACCAGACGCAACTTAAATAACAATGTGCATTCAGATAAATCCTGGTTTGGTAGTAGATAGCACAAAATACTCCTAATTGTCCTCCTTACTCATATTCAAAGCTGTGATCAAGTAGCCTTTATTGATACCTGCCTGAAAAAGAGCCATTTACAAAATAAAAGTTCAGTACCTTTCCATGTGTTTTGCTGTTAGCTGAACACACCTTCTTTTCCCAAGTCAGAGGCAGTACACAAGGATGTAGACTGAGATAATAATGCTGAGAATTTACAATACTTAACAAACCCAGTCTTTGAATTACTCCTGGGTATAGGATAGGAAGAGGAAGAAGGAAGATTATTGTAATTTTTGTAACTATATGAAATCATTAAAGCATTTGTTCTGTGTGTAGAGAGGCTCTCTGCAAAGATCGATTTTCTAAGCGTACAGTACTTTATTGACCTTAAAGGAAATATGCACCATAACAAGAACATGGACTACTTAAAATCTTTTAGCATTTCAACTATTTCAGTTATTTTAGGGTTAAGTAAAAGCAATCCATTATAAATATCTTAGATTTTGGCATTCGATTTAGATTTTGAAGTGTCATAAACAGTATCTCTCAGGAATCAATACTCACACAGTACATCCATGGGGAAAAGAAATAACATATACACAAAGGTGGTATAAGCTATCAAATAGATCTCTACCTTTACGCCTAGTGCAGTTTTCTTGGCCTCTGCTTTTAATCTTGTAGCTCTTAACATAGGCCTGGTTTTCTTATAATCTTGTTTTCCTAGAGTAGAAAAGCACATTTAATGATGTAAAAAGAATATAAAGACTATCAGCAATTATTTCAGTTGAAAAATCAGATTCTGTAGCATTTTGAAAATATCCCACAGTCCAGCACTATAAACAGAAGCTACTCTGTAAGACAGTGGCTCAATCCACGGAACAAGGTTCCTTAAGACAGACAATGTTAGCAACAAGCAAGAGATGATAAATCAACATAGAACCCATTACTCCAGGGGGACATCAAAATACACGTATGGATAGCCATCCACTAGTACGTTTATTAAATTGTTCAGTGAGCATCAGACAGCAAATAAGTAGATTAAAGGTTAATGACGTTTTTCCTTCACATTTCAATCAAAATGAAATTTTCATTGTAATTTTTGTTAGCTAGTCACCTCTAATACATATAGAAATGTGTAATAAAGGACATTATGGTGAGAGTAAATCTTTCATCATTCTGAACCCGAACATTTTTTGCAAGTATTGGAACTCAGAGACAAGCAGGTCAGACCAAGTAAGTGCTAATAAGACCACTGCTTCACACCATCTGCTTGTAGAAACATGTTACACAGTATCTTCTATAAATGTCTTCGATGGACTTTTAAAAAATTACAGGAACTATCTCTTGCAGCCACAAAGAATGCAGCCAAGTGCTTGATTACTATGAGTCCATATGAACTGAGTACTGAGTTCAGAGGAGGACATGCAATTACTTAGAAATGGTATAAATGATTTATCTCAATAACAAAACCCACTTGATATCTCTCAGGGATATTTTTGCTGTCTGAAGGGCCTGTCACTGCTGTACTATTAACCATAGCTTCTTTAAGTCAACAGAAGTCAAGGTATGGCTACAGGCACAAGAGGAGGAGAAGGAAAAGAGGAATCTGTGAACAAACTGCTCAGAGCAGTAGAGCCTCACTACAACTACTCTGGCTTTCCAAAAAACTTCCTTTCCATTTTTTTCCCTCTAATGCATACATACCTTTTTGTTCTTTTGCCTGTTTCCAAAGCAGAAATGTTCGGCTGTTTTTAAACCATTATCTTTACCTAGTTGTACATTAGCTTTCATTATTGTTATATTCAAATAATTTAACCTTTCCTCTAAAACCATGACCAATAGTTTTGTGTATGCAACACTCCCATTTGCTCAACCAGACGTGATCTTACATTCATAATCAGTAGTGCAAACTTCTCATTTTATGGTCACCTTCAAAATGGGGATATTATAGTGCAGTGGCGAAATTCTGAAACATGAATTGGAAAAGAAAGGTCTTCTCCAGTAATATACTGGATTCATGGAAACACTCTTTCTATCACTCTACTCATATTCAATACAGAGCTCCTTTCTGTAGCATATTGTGGTGGCTGAACTCGCATTACAGATTTGCTTTCATTGTATAATCTCTCCTCAGCTCTAGGGATTATATATTGTGAAGGTCTCCATATTATCCTTTGGTCAGATATTATTCATAGAAGACCTAAAATAACTTAGAAAATACTCAATGACAAAAGGAAAAATATCCAAAACCATGTCTATTGGAAAAAAAAAAAAAAAAAAAGGCATATATCCAAAATATCCAAGAAACCTTCTTAAAGGATGGAGTTAAAAGACAGAATGACTATTTATGTCTGATGCTCCTATATATTCATCCAGTCATTCTATCTCATTTGCAGGACAGGACCACTGCAGTGCTATTCTTCCGAAGTCAATATCTGATAACAGGATGCATCAGGAGTAATTTTCTGAACAGTTAGGGAAAGAATTTCAGGCACCACCAAAATGGCTAATTCAAGAGATGAAGCAAGCCCAAACGAGTATGTGTTTCTTCTTCCTAAAGTACTGTAGTCGTATGTTTGCTATGAAATAGTTAAAGAGCTGTCAGAATTTCCATTATAAATGGCAGGAGTTTGTAACTCATAAAAATTCACTCCAGGCTGAAATTTGGCATAGATATACCCCAGCCTTGAAATTTCTTGTTTGTTTGTTGGGAGCCAACTTTCAATAAAGTGATGCAGCTGTTCTTACTTACTTGTGAACAAACTATAGAAATCTATCCGAGATGTTTTAAGCATGAAAAATACCTTCATTTAGAAGTATATAACTGACAAGAACTAACTTCAATTTCAGTTCTCATAATTCAGGTTTGCTGCTCTCCTTTCTGGGGTAAATAAAGAAGAGCAGTCAGAGGTTTCTCTTCCAGGGATGCAATGGCATTACATTAGATAACGAAAGCTACAAAGCTTTGTAAGGCCCATTAGGAATAAGAAACAAGTCAGCTACTAAAACCCACCTCTCTTCCTGCCATTGCCCATTCTCCCTCCTCCTCTCCAAGGCTCAACTGTGAAGATGACACAAGCAGGCGTAAATATTGCACAGGAGACTCAGTATGTACACTACCTCTATCAGCAGGACCAAGTCTATTCCTAGGAAAGGGAAAGCTTATTTGTGTTCTTTCCCTTGGTTTCAGGCACTCTGCTACTGTTTATTCCAGTATAGTGGCTACAGCTACGGCTAAGACTGGATTCTACTTATCTACAGAATACTTCCAGACTTATATTAAATCTGATATGAACAACTAACCCCCCTATATAACAAATAGGCTATTTTAATAATGACTAGAGCTGGTAGTTCTCCAAATCTATGCACCTGCCATTAATTTACCACTCTCCTTGCTTAAATGTGCTAGACAAAAGGGAAAAAAAAAATATGGTAGGGAAACAGTCTGAGTCCACCAAGTGCAAAAGTTTAAAAAGGGCATCTGTGGAGCTCTTTGTAATGAAAACCAGATTCAGCAATTGTACTAAAAGACTCTTAAAAACATCTGAACTTTCTGAGGCCTTGGGAAAGACATTTGCACTACAGGACTATAAAGAACTATGAAATGCAAAGCCCCTACCACATGAATACTGATCATTACCACCTGGAAAACAAGCAGAAATAAATAATACAGGCTCACTGCATTCTTTTGGGCCTGCAAATTCATCCAGTTGGAACACGTATATTCACACTCGCAATGTCTTCTAGTTATATCTCACTTATACTGCAAGCTTTCTGGTACTTTTTTATCTGTCAGAGTCATCAGCTTAAACTGTTTCTTCTTCTCAGGAAGTGACCATCAAAGCCAGTTAAGATGGAATCATTAGACAAAGCCCCATTTATCTGCTTTACCCAATGTCTATTCAAGACATGAGTTTTCCTGAGGGAACATATGAAGGCAAGAAGAAGCCAAAGAGATAGAACTGGAAAATTTCCAGACGAAATCTTACTTTTTGTATTACTTAAGCAAACTCCTTTCCTCTTCTACTTCTCATTATTATTATCAATTCATCATCTCTTCTCTCAAATTCCACTACCCCAGTTTCCTTTTTTTTTTTTTTTAACAAATTTGCCACTTCTTTCCTTACAGCTTTTCCAGGTTCATCACTTTCTTTCCATTTTTAAGGCCAAAGAACTAGTCCATGATAAGGCAACTTTTCTTACTGACTCCAGCCATCACCTCTCTGCCTGTCCTGTCTTCTGTCAGTGCCTCCTAAGACCAAGTGCAAAGATCATCCACCCTCCCATTTCAGAGCTTGAAGTTTCCTTTGCCCTTTGGAAGCTCTCCAGAGTTCATGGCTCATCCCACCCCTTCCTTCCATCCTTCTTTCACAGTTTTTTCCACTCCTTTGATGTCAAAGTGACCACAGTAGCAGCTGAATTGAGCTGTGTCCTGTTTACAGACCCTGCTTGGGAAACTTTCCACAGGTAGAAATGAAGACTTCTCTATTAGCTGTAGGATTACAAAGGGGTGAAGACAAGGTGAAATATAGAGACTTTTTGAGCTACTAAAAAGAACTGTATTGTGAAAAATGTCAAAAGTGTCTCCCTCAGAGCTAATATTAGGGATTCATACAATATGCAGCTTGAGTTTGTTTCTCCTGATGTAACTAGAATTAAAAATCTACAGGTTTCACAAGATTTTTTGTGATTTATCTCTACTCACAAGGGAAACTGAGATCCCATATATCTTACATTCAATGGTTTTAATAACAGATTAGAGACAATCTGGTCTTGTATATTCAGTATTCCTTTTAACTAAGCCTCCAATGACACCATGATTAATGCAAAACTTAAACTAAATAATACATATGACCTAGACAAGTTCATTAAGTTCTGGGTGACCATGGTTTTTTTTAGTCTACAGAAATGCTGTGACATTAGCAAGTAGTATGCATAACACTGTACTTTTGCATACATACCAAGCTCTGTTATACATGTAACTGAGAATGCAACATGCTGAGCACGTATTTAAGAAAACTGACTATATTTAAGATTGTTTAAAGATGCTGCAGTTTAAGATATAACCTGAACAAATCTACAGAATAACATCATGAGAAAAAAAAATTAGATTCCCAACCCTTGTAGATATTTACTCTTTCATTCTAACAATAGCTCATTACTGGAATTGAATAACAGACTAAAGACTGCCTCTCTGTTTTTCAATTCATCAGGCTTAAGCAGAAACAGGACTGCATCTCTGGCCTTTGTTGATGCTGCTGTCCAAGCTTATTATCATATGAATATCTAGTTATTGTTTTATAAATGTTCACATTTCAGGAGCTCCCTGCTTTCTTTTCTCTCAGTAGACTTTACAATATCCACCTTCATTATCATCATGTGGCAGCATTGCTCTTCGCCTGCATTTGCTACTTTAAAAATTAATGCACTGCTATTTTCTGAATACTGTACTGTGTAAGCTGCTTATGAGTACATTATGCTATCAAGCAAGCACATGCAGAAAAGCTTCCTAAACTGTTATTCTTTCAATGAAAATACAGCTGGTTCTGCTTCAAAGGCACTTCTTTTCACCTGCAAATGGACTTGCTCCTACACTTATTCCTCAATTCATTGTCTTTTATTTGTGTCTGCAAATCTTTAATTGCCTTTAATTAGAAAAAAGTAAATTCAGTGCTTTAATCTTGCAAATACATTCAATCATAATTCTGTCTGGGATGAAT